ACCTGAAAGGCAAAACCTGCCGCTACAACCTTTCTATCTTGGTCTATCTTGTCTGCTTTTGCCATGAAAAACAACTGTTTGGTAGGTTCTTGCATCTTCTCTGCTGATAAGATACATTTCAGTTACCATAACAGCTCCCCCATGACATAAAAACACTCCTCTTTTGGCTTAAACACATTAGCAGGATGAGTACATCATTTGACTAGATGGAGTAAAGTCTGTCTAAAATTAGAAAGAAAAAAAATCTCATTACACTGAAACAAAAAGGAAAAGCGCAATGTGCTCGGAGATTACAACTAATACTGTAAGAGAGAGAGAACAAATAAGACGTAGAACAAATAATACAAGCTTTATTTGCTTCATTAGCTGGTTAATGCAGTAGAAACTAAAGGAGGTCCAGTTTCAGAGTCTTTCGTCATCTGATAATGTCGCAGCTGTAGGTGAGGGAATAAGAGATATTACTATTGATTGAGTCTAAAACAGGCAGCAATTTCAATTCCTGATTACATGGGGGGAAACAGTGTCCATCACTTGTCACTATGTCTATGAGCATCTCGAAAGATGCAGCTGAAGAACAGGAATGCTTTTTCCCAGAGGGATACAGAGGGAAAATAATCGACAATACAAAAAATAAAACAAATATTATATTACAAAATAATGTATAAACCACTCATTTCTCTAATAAAACTTTCTCCCTACTTTCAGAGGGAGACTGCAACTGCGGACTACTCTTTTTGCCTCCCTTGAGCTCATTTTTTTCTCACTGACAAATATAGGCAAAAAGTCACATGAGAGGATATAGTGTGTCCACATTGCTGTGATTGGCTACACTGGAAAAAAAAATTATACATACATACATAAAATAATAATAATAATAATAATTGTCTGCCAGGACATTATCCATTAATTTTTTTACAGACATTTCCATTAATTTAAAACACAACAGAAGTAAACAGAACACCTGTAAAATAATAATAATAATAATAAATAAATAATAAATAATACAGAAAATTCCTACATATTAATACAGTACATTGTGCCCTATTTTTATAGATTTTTTGAGTGTAATTGTTGAAACCACATGATTGGCTAAAATGGATGGATTAATTACAAAGAAATTAACTCTCACATTCACACTTTTATAATTTTAAGTAATGTCCAAATCAAAATAAACTTAGAATCACTTGAAACACAAAATGAGCTGCGAGTCATCTGGTTTTTAGCAACCACTCTGCATAATGATAATAATAATAATAATAATAATAATAATAATAAAAAGTAACAGCTAGTAGTAATATTTTTTTTAATATTGTATTCTACTGCATTAATGTAATTTTAAAAACTTTAATGTGATTTATTTAAAAAAATATAATTTTAATATAAATATATAATAATATTCTAATATTAATTGCTTGTTGAAGTCCCTGCTCTCTGAAAAATAACTAAAATAAACAAATACAAATATTATAAAGCTGTCACTGTGGTGGTACCCTTTCAAAACTTACTAATATACAATTATTTAGGTACTAATACCTTTGTAGCATTTAGCGTTAAATAAGGTACAAAGATGTACCTTTTAGTTTTTTGGTGTTTTTTCAATGTATGCTTCAGACACGGGTCACGACGAGGCGTTCCCCATAGCGACCCCTAGAGGACGCAGTTCGAAGTTCCCATGAAGGGGAACTTAGGGTACCACCACAGTGACAGCTTTGTACCTTTTTTCTGAGAGTGTAGTGTAAGGGAAATAGTGTTCCATATGTCATGTACCTGGGAACTTTGTAAAATATCAAATGTAACTGGTAAATTAATTTACATTGGACTGAAGATAAAACAAACTCTGAGAGAGAACTTTGCCTCTTCGGAGGTTTACCACACACCACTGCTGAGCAATGTGTTTCAACTTACAGGCTCATTCACAACAGACTGTAGCACTGTTTCTGTTTTGTATTTTCTCAGGGCAAAGAGTAAGCCTTGATTTTTCATGGAAACCCTTGCAATAATTTATGTAGGATATGGGCTTTTGCATTATTTATTAGTAAAATACATTGGAATAAACTTTGCTTTTGCCAAAAATTTGTCAAGTATATATTTCATTGGACATTGTTGGTTCTGCTTTGAAAAACAAAAACATTGTAAATGTATTACAGGATATAAAACATCTCGTCATATTGTGCAATAGTTTGAAAAAGTTAGAACAGGGAGCTTGGAAAGTTTTGTGAAGTTTTATGACTTCCAGCCCCCATTCTTTCAAGTATTTATATCATGTTGGGAACCCAACTGGTACATCAATATTTTTTGCACTTCTCCATTTGATTCCAGCAGCGTGAACAGATGTAATTAGACATGTAAATCACAGCGGAGTCTTTAGCTGTATGCTAATTAAAAGGTGTATTTACAAAGGAGGGAGTGTGTATGAGTTAAATACACACCGAATGCCGCTGGGACTGTATCTGTGTTTAGTAGTACTACATTCCACAGAGACCTGCTTCTAACTGTACTTTCTGTCTGACTCAAACTTTGAGTGCAACAAAGGGCACTGGAACAACAGTGTTCGCCAAGTGGTTTTTGAAGGAGAAGTTTCTAAGACTGGAGATAATGTCTGAAAAATGCAATAATAATAGTGTGATGCAACCCAACTTTTGTAATCAGATTTTAATAGTAGGGTTGTTTCAGAGCCCATTCTTCTGTGGAGCTACCTTAATATGAATGATGCAATTGCAAGGCTGATAATTCATTGATGCAACTGTCAATTTGAACTTTTTTTCAATGTGAAACATTTTGTTTCAACTAGTCGGACTATAAGAAGCACTGCATGATGCGATTTTATAATTCGCTAGTTCGGTCTCCTGTAAATCCTTAGCGGTAAAAATCACGCTCCACGTGTCTGTATATTTAACATAAAATATGTTCATGATTGGATGTGATTTTGTTGTTCCGGACTACAGAAAAATATAGAGTGTATGAGGAGTAAAAAGGCTTCTTTGGATATCTGTCATTGAGAAAAACTTTAATTTTAGCAGATTCGTAGGAATTATGAAATGATTTCTTCAGTAACTTTTTAAAACCATAATTTTAATAAATAATAAAGAACATACACACTGTTTGTTTGGACAAAGTGAGTAATCTGAGAATCACATCGGCTACATTTACACAGCTGCAGAATAGGATAGTTACATTTCAGTATAGAGTATACATTTTAGTTTAGTATACTTTTTTTAGCCCCTAACCCCAATCCTACGCCAATCTTAAACCTAACTACTTCTTTGGGGAATTATAATAATAATAATACTTTTGTTCAGCAAGGACAAATCAAATTGTTCAAAAGTGACAGAAAAGACATTAGTAATGTCACAAAAGATTTCTAATAAATGCTTTTCTTTAAACTTTCCATTCAAACAATCCTGAACAAACAAATCATGGTTTCCACAAAAAAATATTAAACAGCACAACTGTTTTCAACACTGATAATAAGAAGAAATTGAGCTTGAGCACCAATAAGCATATGAGAATGATTTCTAAAGGATCATGTGACTGGAGGAATTGCTTGTTTCTGCCATCACAGAAATAAAATGCATTTTAAAATAAATTAAAATACTTATTTTAATTTCAAAATGCAGCCTCTGTGAACATACAAGAATAAAATAAAAATCCAGGTGTGAAAAACTTGTTGGATCTTTCCCAAAAAGACTCATGGCTGTATTAGATCAAGAGGGTGCTTCTACTAAATACTGAGCATTTTTCAGTTTTTCTTTTTTAATAAATCTGCAAAGATGTCAACAATTCTGTGTTTTTCTGTCAATATGGGGTGCTGTGTGTACATTAATGAGGAAAAAAAATTAACTTAAATGATTTTAGCAAATGGCTGCAATATAACAAAGAGTGAAAAATTTAAGGGGGTCTGAATACTTTCCGTACCCACTGTATATATATATAAACGTATCTTACAGACCACAAACTTTTTTTTAAATAGTGTACATAGTTACAATATACTATTATACAGATAATTTCTGAGCTCATTAATCTTATTGATGAAATACAATAAAATCAACCTTTTAATTCCATGAATTCAATATTCTATGAACATAAAATGATTCATAAACATTTGGACATCTCTAAAGTCACCCATACACAAAATGCTAATGTTTTAGAAGCTGTCTATATGTTATAATGTATGAGTTAGTCTCTATGCAACATATGAAAATGTATGCGTGCTGGAACCAACAATGCCTACAGTATGACTACTAATGAGATCATGCACAGTTCTGTTATAAACCGTTCCGATAAGCTACCAAACAGCAAAGAAATGACCATAAATGTAAAGGACAGATGACTATGTGTTGGGTGTGTGGTTGGACTGGTGATGTATGTGGGTGCTGAGAAACGTCCGCTGTGTCTGTTCAATTGTTGGGCCACACAGCAGTGTTCCCAGATCTCTTGCAGGAGGCGGACAGAAATACTGCATGTCAATGGCATCTGTAAACTTGTCTGACCATGTTTAAAATTCTCTGCAACAACAAATTGCCAGTGGTGTATTTATTGCCTTATACAGACAGAGATTGGAAGGCTAAGCTATAAGAAGACAGTTGAAGTATTTGTGGAAGTTCTTGTTCTCTCTTATGCTGCAGAGAGGATGTCCTGTCTTCTGCCTGACCCTCAGGATGCCTCTGAACCACAGACATGCTGCGGTCACGGTCAGCAACGATGACTAATAATGAACAGAGGAAAAAAGAGGGAAAGAATGAAAGACAGCAAAAGAAAGAGAAATGGTCATGATTTCCCCTTATCTTGAAGAAAAAGCAGTGATGTGTGAAGCTGAAGATGCCTCTGAACATGCACAGACTCAAACTCTGTCCTTTGTGGATTGCAGATGGCCTCTTCAGGCATAAACACATACACACAAACTTTCCCCAATGTTTCACCCCTAGGCAAAACTATAGACTGACCGCACTTTGTTTTTCATGGAAAGTAGTTTCATGTTGCTGTTGTGTTTTTGTGCCAAGGTCACGACTGGCTGATTTCCACACAAACTGTCAGATGACCCCTCACTCCATCAGCAGCTGCCTCAACGATGACTATCAGGCCTGCCTTACATCTTACACCAGACTCATTGGTGAGCCATTTTTTATATATAATTCTATTTGGGATATTGATATACAACATATATAAATGCAGTGAATTTTCATAAGCTATTTTTTCTTAGAATATGTTTACTCAGTTTAAATCAGTGTTACTGGATAACAATTGCTTTTCTGAAAAGAGCATGACCAGATAATAATAAAGCTAAATGATTATGATGAATGATTCATCAATGTGTGGAAATATGAAGATACTTATAAGCACATAATACAATTAATTAAAAAGTGCTAAATTTGACATTATTATTATTTTTACACTATACACTATCATTCAAAAGTTAGGGGTCTATAAGATTTAAAAAAAAAATAAAAAATTTTAAAGGAATGAATGCTTTTATTCAGCAAGTATACATTAAATTGATCAAAAGTGACTTTTGCATGTAAATAAATTCTGTACTTTTGAACTTTCTATTGATCAAAGAAATTTGAAAGAAATATATAATACTTTCCAAAAAATCAAGAAGCACAACTATATTTAACATTGATAATAGTTCATTGCTAAAGAAATGTTTCTTCAGCAGCAAATCAGCATAGGCTATTATAATGATTTCTGAAGGATCATGTGACATTGAAGACTGGAGTAATGATGCTGAAGATTCAGCTTTACATCACAGAAATAAATTACATTTTAAAATATATTAAAATGGAAAACAGTTATTTCAAATTGTAAAAATGACTCACAATATTTCAGTAATTTTGATCAAACAAATGCAGCCTTGGTGAGCATAAGAGACTTCTTTCAAAAGAAAAAAAAAATCAATCTCAACAGAACAGGAGAAAAGTACTATTAATATTAAATCAACCCTCTTTGCACCATCATTAGTAAACATTAAGAGCACATCAAATATAATTAACAAATATGTGACCCTGGACTAAATCTACAAAATATCTTCATGGAACATGATCTTTACTTAATATCCTAATGATTTTTGGCATAAAAGAAAAATGGATAATTTTGACCCATACAGTGTTTTTTTGGCTATTGCTACAAATATACCCCAGCGACTTAAGACTGGTTTTGTGGTCCAGGGTCACATATTTGGTTTTTGACTCATTCATTGATCAAGAAGATAAATGACAAGAAGACAAATAGAATATAAATTTTACCTATGAAAAGTAATGCTCATGCTCGAGTTCATTTAATAGTTCACTGTGATACACATTATTCAGTAACCTAGAAGGACATATTTCATTTTATGTGTTTTCCCTATAGGTACAGATATGACTTCTAACTACATGGACTCAGGTCACTCAAACTTCACCATCTCCCCCTGGTGTACCTGTAGAGGCAGCGGGAATCAGGAGGAAGAGTGTGAGAAATTTCTGCAGGACTTCAGAGAAAACAACTGTCTCCGTAAGTCTTTTTTCTTTTGTTATGAAAGCTTTTCGTCTGCAAAGTCTGTCCCTTCTAGCTTCACTCTCCACTTAGCTTTCAGCATTTACATTTAATTCAGAATTTATACTCAGCTTTTTGATAAGCCATTGAGGCTGCGGTACTTATATGAGCATGCGTCTGTTTAGAAATAGGTTTCTATACTACTTTTTAAACCTGAATGCTGCAGCTAAGGTGACAATGTTTGAAACCTGCCTTGTTTTGTATTTACTTTCCATTAGAAAATTAATTCCATGTGTGGAAGCTCTACCCACCTCCAGAATAATAAATGTCTGATTGTTTTGTAACTAATGTCATGCTTGTTAGCAGAAAGTAAACATGTAGGCTGAGGCTAAATAAGGCTTCCAGCCTGACTTGTTATCATGTGCTGCTACAGGACTCCTTTTTTGGTATTGCATAGTGATAATGTGTCAGTTCAGTCATTTAAACTGAGCTTTATGGCTTATTTTAAAAAGATAATCTAATTAAATGTATTCATTCATTCATTGGTCATCTAGATTTACAGATTTTAGATGTAGTTTAACATGTTCATTCCTTAGCATTGAATACTCCTAGGATTACATAGACTAAATTTAAATTATATTGTGGCTTTTAGTGTGTTAAGAATTTACTGGGAGAAATCCAGTCATTTTAATAGGAATCCAAGTAACTGTGAATTTTATGGGAGGGTGAAAGATTTCTCCATACAGATTTTGCAACAGATTCAAGTTGGTCACGTGGATTTGCCATGTTGACCAACAGAAAGTTGCTTGGTTTGAAAGAGACTTCTGTGTGAGCTGTGCTTAATATATAACTACTCTATTGACAATAGACAATGGTGCATTTTTTCTTGCAAAATTCGCTAATGTGACCATACTTTTAGCTTTGAGACAATATATATGCTAGTGTTCTCCTAAGCAGTGACTAGTCTTTAGAAGATATACACATTTCAATTTTACAGTCTTTCTCCACATGGAAGATGGGCAAAATTGTGAAAAAAAATTAAAATAAAAAATTGTCCAATCAAATGCTCTCTAGCAATAGCATGTAGCAAATCATGGTTCATACCTGTGCCGAAATCATCTTGTTTCTATGCAGTTAGGTACATGATTGTTTGTCTGCGTTATGCTCAAGGAAAATACCAATAGATTACACTGAAGCGGTTTCCGGCTAAATTGACAAGAAAGGTCAGTTTTTGGGAAATAGTGTTAATATTATTTTGTTGATCTGTCTATTTGGGGACATATGTATTTGAGAGCTGAGAAGAAAGAGGACAGACAGAAACAGACAGACAGACAGATTATTCATGTTTGACAAATGTTGAAAAAGTGCCGTTTCTGTGAAAGAGGATTTTTGGGAAAGAACAACTTTACTATCCCTCAACAGACTTTCTGTATTAATGGTTATAAAAAATGCATTATTAGAAATAGGCAAATAAAAATATAATTATTAGGAAGCAAATAAAAGACAATCGAAGATGAAGAAATTCCCCCCAAAAATGTTTGATTGCTTGTCAGGAATATCTTCCAGAGAGTGAAATAAATAACAGAGAGGAAAACGAAAACATAAGATAATAAGCTACAGAGCTTCAGGCATTAGCTCAGGAGACATTTCATCCGATATCCCACTGTGAGATTGCTGAGAAAGATTTCTCAAGTCAAAACAAGCATGGATACAGTGTAATTTGCATGGATTTCATGTAAATCATGGCTCTGTCACCAAACCTAGTGTGATGCTTTCGTAGACTGCATTTTAAGGAATTGTAGGCACACTTTCAAGTGATAGTTAACCAAAAGTTAACAATACCTTGTTATGGGTGAATTGCAAGGTACCATTACATATGTCCTTTTTGCAAACAAGATTGCATAATAAATTGCAATATACATCCAAGATTGGCAGACAAAATTTATGAAATGTTATAAATGTATGTCATTACATAGCGGAAAGCAATAAACAGTAAACAAATTTGTGTCCCGAGGTTTGATGTTAGCAACATACTAATAAGAAACTCTTTTGAATTGAATAGTCATATCTCCTGTCGGCTTCATATTAGCAGCATTATTCTTACGCTGTTGGTAAACGGTGGTTAGTGAACTTGTTGCCTATTAAGAGTGTTTTAGTAGATACAAGCTCATGGAGGCAGTAGACAGCAAGCCAGCTCATATAATTGTAAGACAGCCTGTGTGTGTGTGTGTGTGTGTATGTGTTGTTGAGGTTAGTTAATATTTAGATCTCACCACTAACAAAGCTGCATTTACAGAACATCAACATACTTTACTCATTTATTTTAGTCATACATATTGTAGTGAAAAAACATAGCAACATATTTACACTTAGGAATATTGTATGCTGTCACTTTGCATTCAGTCTGCATTTGATTGGACTAGTTGACAATAGTCAAGCTATGAACAGCTGTAGAATAAACTAACAACAAGAAATAAATTAGTTGACATTTGTACCTTTGTTTAGTTAATTGCACACACACACACAAACACACACACACACTGCTTTGCAGAGTTTTTCACCTGAGTGCAGAATACTCTCCAGAGATGTTGACGGGCTCATAATTAACATATTAAAGTTGAAAATGTACAATGATTGAATGTGCCTCTGAAAACAGCACAAATAGACCAGACAGAAAAACGTGTCCTCACGATTTCCCCAAGGAGCCACAAAACTGCATGTCACTATTTACACTATATGATGTATTCGTGTAAAAAATTATAATTAGTGCATTACCCAAGCAGGAAGTTTATAATTAGAGACTGCCTGAGGGGAAACATTGTCAAACTTCACCATTCTCCAGCAATTCAGAAACGTGTCAGATGCGCATCACAGATTCACCCCATTGCTGAAACTCAGATTTTTCTTCTGGTCCCACTCAAATGAAAGATGAATAGTTTGCTATGGGCCATTTTTCTCATTCTGACAGGTAGAGAGAAAATGGGCAAAGTCTCGCTCTGTTTACCATGTTTTAATTCCAGGCAGAGTTCGACATCACAGTGATTTTTGGAGGTGAAATTCAAAGGGGGCGCTTTGCTCTGTCTAGCAAGTCCAGTAGCACTTAAAGTTTGCCTGAGGCAGGAAGGAATGTTCCCTACATGTAGAAGTGGCATGTCTTGCTCATGGGCACGACCGAGGCAATGATTCTATTCACCCAACACTATAAATTGTCTCCAGTGCTCCATTGGTTTGAATGATCAGATATTCATCTGGTTATTCATACTGTTTCTGCCACTAAAAATTAAATTAATTAATAAAATTCAATTAATAATAGATAATAAAATGTAATTTCATTGGAAAAACATAGAAATTGTCATTTTGATGGCTATAACTTTATAAGCACACATTCAATTATTCTACTAACTCTAACCCTAACCTAACAGTCTATTAATATTCTAATGAGAATTAGTTGATATGTAGTTGCAAATTAATGACAGTTAGTCGACATGTAGATTCAAATTTACTTATGGTTAGTAGAATCTTTAATGTCATAGACGTACATACATAGATGCCTCATTCTTAGGCCGCTATACGTAAGCCACATTGGAACTGTCAAAGCCAGTTCGTGAACACTCAAGAGCAAGTTGACTGTTCGTCTGCAACCGTAGTTATACTGTACACATGTATGCATATCTACATCTGCAATAAACTTCACCAGATGATTTTGCAAAACTAACACAATACAACAAGATGGAGGCAATAGCTAACACAATATTAAAAAGTTGCAAAAAAAGTTTAAAAACCTGTAATATTGAGTTAATACTTATATAAAACACAAACCAACACATTCTCACCTGTGAAAGTTTATTTAAAATTGAAATCTCTGTGGTTTTTACAGCTAGAGGCTGCACCATGGTGTGGAATCTGGAAAAGTCTATTACTTTTGTAATGCGTTACTCCCAACACTGACAATAAATATATGCATAATGAATCTTTCATAATGTCTACAATTCGTGTGTTATAATGAGAGGATTCGTGAGCACGCAAATTTCAGCACTGCATTGCTCAACGCTGCAAACACGTGTTATAGCCTAATTAGAAACTCTGCATACGCTTGCACCTGTTAATCGTTTATATTTTATATTAGTTCATGTTGCTTTTGTGCAAAAGATGAATAACAATTTATTTGTTTTAGATATTTTGTTTAGATATTTCTATTTTGCGGGTGTCCCGTGAATAATTTTATTCTCCCGCATCCCGCACACACACGAAACCCACCTGCACCAGCACTCACCCATCTTGACCCGCGCCACACTCTTTTGCGTCGGGTCTCGCGGGAGCAAGTCTCTAATCCACTGGCACTTGACTCGACAGTGCGTATGCTACATCCTTTTTACAATCTGTAGATTATAAAACACTGCATTCTGTCAGCAATGTAACGCGGCAGTAACGTATAGAGACCTCGGCTTGTAACTATACTCGAATTACTAATTTGAAAATTATAACGCGTTAAATTACTCTGTTACTAAAAAAGTAATCAAATTACAGTAACTGAGTAATGCGTTACTGCCCAACACTGGTGACGACACATTGACCATTCTAAGATGATGGGCGCATTGACATGCCTGGAGTGGTTGAATTTGGAATCTACGTATACATATCTATGTCTAAAGTGGACTATCGAAAGAAAGTGTAACCATAATAGCACATGTTAGAATGTTCGTCAACCAGTCAGAATCAAGCATTCAACAGCCCTGTGGTATAAACAGCAATGTTTACCTTTTTTTTGGCCAAAACAACTTGTAAAAATGTCACATGGGCCGACAACATAAAATAATTTACGAATTTGAATTAATTTGAAACAGACAGTTTGAACCGATTCACATAAATAAATTTGTTTTCCCAATGTACACCAGGTAATTTCCCTAAAGTTTATGGAATAATCAACCGCTGGGCCCACTATGATTGTTTTTTCGAGGCGACCAAATATGGCAATTATGCTTTCTCCAATGATACAGTCATGGACATTGCCATTTTCTTCTTTAATAAGAGAATTTCCGATATAAATCAGAGATGCTGTAAAAAAAAAAAAGAGAGAGTTTGAGTTGGGCATTCGTTATTATGACGTGTCCCACATTCAGTCAGAAACATAATATGAAGGTAACCTAAACAAAACAAACAAAAAGAAAAATATACAATATGAACAATAAATCCAAATAACTACATCTGAATTAAAAAATACCTTATTTTTTGCAAAATCATTCATTATAATTCACACATTCATGGCCATGCCCAGTCTTACGTTAAAAATAAGGTTGATATGAAGCATGGTTTGCTCTCACAAAGGCCTGTGTAGCAGGATGTATGATTTTGTGAGTGTTTGTGTGTTGGTTTGTTTGAGCAGGGTTGTATGTAGCGGTGCAAGGCTACACATCAGTGTCTTCCTGTGCGTTTCTGTGTAAACAATCAGGACAAGTGTGAGAGTTCTAAAGCAAAGAGCTGAGATGTGAATGAATGGAAGAGAAATGGAGGGAGATGTTGAGAAGCGAAGGGAAGAGAGGAGGGCATTAGCAGAGCTGTGAGCAGAGATTTGGGTTGATGTCAACAGGCAGCTGACACACATCACCGCTTTTGCAAATTAATTGGCTTTTAGTCACTGTCCTCTGTTTCTCTCACCCCCCACCGACCCCCCCCACCCCACCCCACATCCCCGCCTGTCAACACGATTTCGGTCCCTTCCTCCGTGTCTCTCGCTCTGTCTGTCTGTCTCTCTCTTTCACTCTCTCTCCTTGCCAGCTGCAGTTATGGCAGTTATGGCTTTTGCCTAAGCCTGCATCTAATTATGCATGTTTACACAGGAGACGCTGAAAGTTCACTGCATGAGCTAACGCTAATTTAACACAATCACTACATTCATAGATCAGGTGAAATGACACATAAAACAAAATAAAGAGATGTACCATACACAAAAACTGATAAATAATTAGATATTGGTAACTGCAGTAGTATTTCTTTCACTTGAACTCAGTATTAAGTGAATAGTGCATTTGTAGTTATGGGCATGAACAGGAAGATATAAACATAATAGGGTAAATTTACTAAGATTTAATCACACCTATTGATAGTGTTGTTCATTTGCACGGGTAGTTTTAGCACCACCCATAGGAAAGAAAAATCAAAAGTGAGATCTCTTTAACATCTCAAATATTTCTCCTAGACAGAAATGAGGTTACTTTAAGATCGAATGGAGATTTTTGCTTGAGTCTCCTGCTTCTCAAACTGGTCTCCTGAGACAAAAACTCTAACACTCTCAAAATGGTCTCCTTTAAAGCTTTAAAAGAGATCTTAACAACATCACACACTGTGCTTAGATATTTCTCCTTAGCTGGAGACTCTGGATCTCTCACATTTGTCTCTTTTAAAGCTTTAGAATAGATCTCAACAACATCACACACTGTGCTCAGATGTTTCTCCTTAGCTAGAGACTCTGGATATCTCATATCTGTCTCCTTTAAAGCTTTAGAAGAGATCTCAACAACATCACACACTGTGCTCAGATGTTTCTCCTTATCTCTGAGTGCAATAAAATAAAACAATGTTGAAATAGATCAAAACGTTTTACCAAACTATAATTACAAATAAACTAAACTAAAATAACATAACATAAAAAATAATAAAAATAATTAAACAAAATAAATCCAAAAACTAAAAAAATAATAAAATAAAATAAATGTAAAAAATAAAATAAATTTAAATATATAATTTTCCACACTGTTCGCAAAATTAAATCAAGGAAGTTAGCTACCATGAAACAATTTAACAATACATACTAAATACAGCAAAATATATTGCAATAGCAATATTTATCTACATATATATTTTAATACAACATTTTAATACATGACTTCAGTGAACATTTTGATTGATGACACAAAGGAATCAGTGATTTGAATGAATTAATTTAAACAACACTCGAATCAGCTCTTTAAAATGAAAAAGTGCACTCAACTATACCACGTGTCTGCACATATGTGTGGTTATAACTCCATCATGTGATCATCATTTGATGAATACACAAACAAAATGGATCAATCTTAAGTAAATGGCACAACATTTTTTAAGAATATGCAACAAATTGTCTAATTTACATAGAAGGAGCCATGCCTGTATTGAAAATAAATTTTAATAAAAGACTTAATTACAATGATCGCGCATCATTTTGTGCTTGCTCAAACTAGTTTGCAGGTTGTTCATGAATAAGACACAGGGGTTTGCGGTGAAATCCCTCACACTCTTTAACAGCTCATATAATGCACTTACTTTCACAACATCTTGAAATCACTCATTCTAATAGTCCTTCATGCTTTACCTTTTAATCAGAGAAGGAGAGATTAAGATCGATTGAGTCTCTGGTAAATGGCATTGTGTGGAGAGAAGGCTGACTAAGGGAGCGACACACAACGGACACAAATTGAGGCACTAAATCCCAATGGGATACAGTCTCTGCCTCCTGGCCATTGTATGTGTCATGTGGCATTTGGGTTTTCTGGACTAGAGCACCTGATTAAACCAACAGCTTTGTGAGAGGCAAACAGATGCAGGGTGTTGCTGCAAGAATGCGATTTTAATTATAAAATGCTGAGAGGTGTTCTTGATATCTTAACAAACAATTCAGCACCGAAACCAGGCATCGTCATTGTCCACGTGCTATACTTCTGTCCTATCTTGAAGGTTTCTGGAGATGATTACATCTCCTCTAAGCCTCAGTTGTTTTATTGCAAATGCCACCCTGGCCGCGCGGATGTACTCCAGGCCTGGCTGAAAGGTCTCAGTCTTTATTCTAACATAATTGAAAACAGATTTATTGGATTAGGGCGAGTCTGCGTCTGTGCGAGTGCACTAGATCAATCCCACCCTTCTTTGTCATAAACAATACTGCAGCGACGTCTTGACAAACAAGCTTTGATGACCTTGTTTGGGAGAACAGAATTTTACAGCAGGTGATGCAGAAATAAATGTATAATTATATGAGTCAATAGGAATGGAATGATTTGCACCTCCTTGTAAAGACCTTCAGAAGTATGAGGCCTTATGAGAATTCAGGCAATTAAAAGAAGATGGCCAAAAGCGGTGGCTTAGAATGTGACTATGTACGGTCAAGCTGTATGGATGTCTGACTGTATCATACTATTGGCGGTTTGTTTACCACAATTCCAGGAAATGTAAATGGTAAATTTCTGGGTCTTATTGAAAAGCTGATGCCATTTTTTTCAAATGATTTTTCCGTTTTTTTTTTTTAAGGGTAAAGGTTTGTATTGTTACAATGTCGGTTGTACAATGTGTACTCTTTTTCCGTATTACCTGCACCAAGATATCCCAGTATTTTTGTCAGTAAAAAGTGTTTTTTTTTTTCAAACTAATTTTTTTCTCTCACTGTATCATAAAAATATATGTAATTTGTAATAAAAAAATAATAATATGTAACCTACAGATCGTACTTCTGCCGTTTTTGTTTAGAATTTTTTTATGAAATATGCAGGAGGAGAACAAAACAATAAAAAAGGAACAGAAAAGGGAAAAAAAAGGAAAGTAATAATGGAAAAAAAAAAGTGAACATATACACATTAATACACAAAAGTAAAACACTGATATGTACAAACAGTATTTCTGCATTATTGTATCCCCGATCACAAACAGATGGATCGAACTCCAGCCCCTTTTTTTCTTTTTTCTTTTACCACAGCCATTTCTTTCTGTCTAGTCATGTATACATAGCACCAATCAAAAAAAAAATATATATATATATATATATATAAAGACATTTTACTTTATACTATTTTTATGGTCATCCTATAATTTGTTGAAAACTCTCCTTTAAACTTGTGCAAAAATTGGAATGCAGCCTACTAGTTTGACATTAAATAAAGTTGAGTAAATTACAAAGTTGTCCTCTTTGGGGTTAACCCTTCAAGCGTATTAACAAAATAAGTTTTATAAATCTGTGATTATCAAACTTTTCAACCACCATTGAGCAAATCATGAAAGTACCAGCTAGCTGTAACAAAGATCCCTCTGACTTTTTCAGCTCTGCACAAAATCACATCTCTTTAAACACAAGCTTAAGATCTGAGTGACATAATGACATATTTTGATTGATATTCCAGTAGTTCAGATAAATCATGCTGCTGCAAGAGCCTCATCAGTCCGTTCATTACCCTTTACAGATCTGTGGAAGAGCCCTATCAGAGCAGAAACTAGCACACTCACACATTTAGAGGATTACAATGTATTTGCATGCATTAATATGCACATTTTGGATATTTTTTTTTTACTTCTACTTTCTGTCTAGAAACACTTGGAACTCTTCTGTCAGACATGTCACATTATTGAACTGGATCGCTATATTCTGGAGGTTCTGAACCCCAAGAAATCTATAAAAAAGAAAAAAAAGAGACATATCAGTGAGCTTGATAGCGCTTCACATAAGACTCATTGTCAGATGATAGATAAGATAGACATGCATTACAGAGGGATACTGCAGATCTCTCAAACAAGACAGTATCGTATTATACTTAATTCCATATCTGAAGGATAACCTTATTTCCTTGCAGGAACTTGATTGCTATCCATCAAAAGACTACATCTGCGGAAGTGAGGTAAGAAGTGCAGAGATGAAACTTTCCAAGCCATGAAGCATTATCTATAAGCATCTCTTGCTTGTGCATGAGGGAAAGGCTGGATGACTATTGCGTCCAGAGGCAAAGCACAACTGCACGGCTTTATTGTAAATGTGTTGTAATCACACATAGCCCTTGTACAGTCACTTGCTCAACATGTACTGCAAAAGCTTTAGAGGGTTTAGGTCAATATCACAACACCCGTCCAGCATATTTCCAGGCTGTATTTTACACCAAAACTGAGAAATATGTAAGAAATTATATTTTGCACAATTTAGATTTTCATTTTCACAAAGTTTTTTGTATTCTGACATTATTTTCATGATGATGATTAATAATAATTATAATAATATTAATTTGATTTACTGTGATACACAAAAAGTTATATTCATGGATTTGTAATGAGAACGAAATGACAAACACCATTAAAGTAATGTGAAATACAAAACATTTTTAAAAAGTATGTTCAGAAACATGGTAGTATTGTACAGTCACTTGCTCAACATGCACTGCAAAAGCTTTAGAGGGTTTAGGTCAATATCACAACACCCGTCCAGCATATTTCCAGGCTGTATTTTACACCAAAACTGAGAAATATGTAAGAAATTATATTTTGCACAATTTAGATTTTCATTTTCACAAAGTTTTTTGTATTCTGACATTATTTTCATGATGATGATTAATAATAATTATAATAATATTAATTTGATTTACTGTGATACACGAAAAGGTATATTCATGGATTTGTAATGAGAACGAAATGACAAACACCATTAAAGTAATGTGAAATACAAAACATTTTTA